TCAGTCACTTATCAATTAATAAGGTGATTTTATTGCAGATTTACTATGTAGCATTAATAAATAAATCTTGAGGTTTGACTCAGGTGAGTGTGAAATTGTGGTAGGATGTTGCTTATGGCTGTGTTGAATTCAATCGAATATATCCATTTTATTAAGATAATGAAAATTTATCTGAGTTAATTTAGGTTAATGTATCAAAAGATGGTGGTACACGCACAATGACTTACAGATCTGCTCAGCTAAGCGTGAAGATGATCATTTTGCTTGGCTGCTTGTCAAAGAACAGCGGTTTTTACAATTCCGCAGAATACCTTCATAGGGCCTCTCTATGGCTACGGCATAGACGCTCGCTATCTTCTGCCATCAACCATATTTGATCCGGTTTGTGTAACAGGGGAAAAATTTTTCTTCAATATTCTGCACAATGCACGAAAAAATTAGGTTACATTTAGCCAATGAAAACTGACCTTTTGGGACCTCGTAGGAGTCTGTCAGTAGGTTTCATTTATCTACCATAAAAAGGGACTTTTTATGCTCACAAAGGCAAGCATTCACAGTACTTGTCTGGAGAGAAGGTGGCCTGGAGCCAGTCTGATGTGAAACTCTCATTCTACCACCTCGTCTGTTGACCATAACCAACCCATCCACATCACTTGGCGTACGCCAATGAGTATTGATCAAGTGAGCTCTGACTAATTTATCGAGCAAGTCGAACGCGTTAGGCATTAGGAGTGTTAACAATTGATCATTAGCAAACCGCCTAGCTTGGCAAGGGGCATATAAGTGCCTCTTTTGTAAAAAATATTCACTTCATAAGAAAAGTGAGGACGTCTTTAAAGCTAAAATTCAAACAAGAGGACATAATAACGAGAATTATATTCAATTTAAAAAGTGGGCAATCGCATGCCACAAGAGGACAAAGAATTTTGATGCCCTCTCTTCAAGGTACCCCGTTTCTTCCCTATTTGAACACTTTTAGCATCTACCATTCTCAAATGCTTTCTTACAATGCAAAACATGGGGGGAGGAGGATTTTTATAATATTTATTATAATAGCTGACAAAGATGGGATAAACCGCCATTCTTAGTCAAATTGTATGTGCGATTAGTCTCCATTGTTCATAGAAAGGTTCGAAACAAATTCTGCTGTGAAAGAGGGATTAAGCACTATCACGAGGAGACCTAAAGGAGCTAATTATTCACACCTCTCTGTGGGACACGTTATCGCTCTGTGCGTCGTCGTATGCCTGCATGTCTGCTCACCAGGATTGGGAGGTGCGGCCGTACAACTCTGTGTGCAGCGACCGTACAAACAGTGACCAATCATCAACCTCTGTTTAACCTAATCCCCCATCCTGATCATGAGTAGCTCCCTGCGTGTGCACACTTGATCTGCAATATACGTCCTGAATAAACGTGCTCCGTGCTACACGTCTGTTTCCTTTATAGCTGGGCTATAGCTTAGCTGGTTCTGGGAGTCTAGCTAGATGTTGAAGAATCTGCCATAGAGATTTCTGAGTCAGTCAGGATTTACTAAGGTAGCAATCCGCTACATCTCTTTTCAGTCTTGAAATCTGCTTTCATTATTGACAATTACTAATCTCATCATGTTACTGCTTGTATTTTAGTAGAATTATAGATATACTGTATTAGAGTTACTCGAATCTAGTAGGAACAGGTGAGACTTCTAATTGTTCAAATTATGGTTTTTCAGTCCTTTATATAGAAAACAATCCTATTAATTTGCTAATTGATTGGCTAATCTGTTACCCAATAAGGGAACGGTTGCCAGGTGAAACTATTCGATTTTCTTCCTATTGCAAGCAAAAAAACGTACGGAATTTCAAGGAAATAATTAATTTTCAGAGTATAATTTTCTCCAATAACCTAGATGTTTTGTCATAAACAAACTTTGATGGCATGCACTCGATCAATGCAAATATTTCAAGTTCAGAAGATTGCAAACCTAGTTCTGGATATAATTTTTCTAAATATACATTAGATAACTATAGTTCACCTTGCATTGAAGAAATTGCTCAGATAAAATGCACAACGATCCGACCAAGCATATCGAAACAGGATGCGGGTGTTTTCCTGAAAACTCGTCTTTTTATATTATTCTGACCCTTTACTGACCATCATGTAAATAAGTAATTTGCATATAGAGATTGCTCTCATGGCCCACTATTATTTTCCTCTGCATAGCACGTGCATGTTAGAATCATTTGTCACACCTGGAAAAAACTTTTTCTTTGATAAAGAACTGCGAATCTTGAGTTTCGATGTGCTTAATTTTCCATCTGAAATGGGAGGATTCAGCTCCTGAAAGGCATAACCATACTCTATGTCACAAATCCTTTGTTGTCATATATGCCTTAGTAGAGTTCAGTATTGTTAATTAAATTTCGTTTTAGGTTAAGAAAGCAGTTTTTTGATAAAATTTGATCCAATGTACAAAGATAGGTCAACAATAATGCGACGGTCCATGGCCGCCTGTATATATTTATATCAAATGGCAGACGGTTTGATAGTTATCATCAACCCCTCAGTTGACTCCAGGCTTCACAGAGTGGAGGAGGAACATTAAAGTGATAGAAAGTCGAGAGGGGGAGTGGAACAGAAGAGTGCTTCAAAGGTGTAAAAGAGACAGACACAAAGGTAGTAAAAAGGTGAGGTGAGTACTATGGAAGTGGTCGAATATGGCATACAGTGGAGTGTTGGTAGTTTGAAGTCAGAAGTCAACTGCCAGTTAATAGACTTTTTTGCCGTATGAGTATACGTTGCCCAGGGTGCACCACGTGGAAGTAAGTCTATCGCGCACCCCTGACCGCCTGAATAAATCAGAAGCAGATAAAAGGAGAGAAGCTTTTCCTGAACTATCCCGCAGCTGTAATAGATGGTAAAGACAGTTATTTTGAGCAGCACTCATTGATATTAGTGCAACTTCCATATCTATTGAATTTCGTTGTTACCAGGCCTTTTTTATTGATGGAACTGTCAAATATGTCCCAAGCACTCTGTATCCTCACTACGCATCTTGTTAATGGACGTAACGGTCATCAAAGCAAGATCCACCACTTTCCACCTTCTTCTGCTCTTTATACTTCTTGATCTTAATTTCAATCTTTCCTTTCCATTTGATACACACTAGTAAAGACCTATGTTGGGCACACTTACTGCGTGAATATGGAAATATATATATATATATATATATATATATATAAGGTAAGTCTATTGCACACCCTAACTATATATTGGGGTAGGTAAAGAGATATGAACTTATTGAATTTTAATTATTCACTTCACTAATGCCTCTATCTCAATACATTTGTCTTTTAAATAGGTCTGTTTCCATGGCCAAATTTGGGCTTAAATGAAAAAGCTCGCCATTATCCTTCCTTAACTTTTTCCTTTGATGTCGCCTCATATCTTTGCCATTATTTCAATTTTCTTTGCAAGTTTTGTCATTGTTTATGGGAAGGCAATAAAGTTTCCCAATTTTTTTATTTTGGGGAAACAGCGGAATTAGGGGGCAACAGGAAGGGAAAAAGTTCGTTTATCAAAATCAGGATGTCCTAAGCTTTACTTTACTGGAACTTGTAAGCGTTGGATTACTCATATTTTTCCATAAGGTGAAAAGTTCACTTTGCAATGTTCTAATCTTCAATCCCGATCTCGATTAATTGATATAAGTAATTACACGAAATTCAAGACTTGCTAGTCTGTAAAATCGCCTGTGACATAACACTCCGCTTCGATTTACAGGTGTTTATATGTAAATGAAGCAATCGATTTTACATTGAACTTAGCGGAAAACGATATACCTCACTCAAACATAAAAAAATCGTACGAAGTGGACAGAAATGTGAATCGATCTTAACTTAGCTGTTACCGAGGGGTATAAAATTTGAATTAGTAGATTTCTGTGTTAAGATCATACATCTATAGCTATTTTCGCGTTTTGTTTTCACTTAAGATCCATATTTGTGTAAAATATTTATGATTGCTTCTTCCGTGCAAACGGTTCTCTCCGAATAAAATTAAGTTAGTTGCCCAACTCGGCAGAAAAAGTGAAATTTTTCATTCATTTTCACTTTTGATCAAGACTATTTAAGAATAGTGATGACGCAATGCCATTTTCAACTTACCATCAGCATGACTCATCACTAATTTTAATGCCGTTTATTCACAAAGATACTTCACTTGAATTTGCTTTGCGTCTCAGATGTAAATTTAACCCACTACTTTACAAGAGGAAAAGCATTTGGAATTTTCATATTGGCTATTTCAATTGACCATTGGTGCAATAAGAAAAGGACATCTTGGATGAAAATATACCCAGTGATACAAATTTGTAAAATTTACATTTTGGTACGTGAACTGCCCTTTCAAGCAAGCTCCATTGATGCTAGACTCTTAACAGAAGGCGCTATTGCCGATTGAAACATGCTTAATACGTCTATAGATTTCCCTTGATGCACCTCCAAAACTCATCACATCGGCGGCATCAGTCTGCTATGAGACAAGTGTGAGTGCGTTTGGGTGTATTTTACAAAAAAAATAATACATCCGGCTTTAAGTAAAGTCTGCACATTGTAATCACAATTTCGAATAGAAATAGACTGTATATTCAGCGTCAGTAGCATTCGAACTCCTCTGTTCTCGACCGTACTGCATTGTTATTAAATCCAAGTAGCTTTCCAATAATGAAAGTCATCTATTCGGCCTGTCATCGTTTATAATGAAATTTTTAAAATATTGCTCCACAATAATGCCTCGAGTAAAGCTATGCTTCCCATTGCACATATTTGTGAAGATGTGGTAGATGATGATTACTGGACCGCCAATTCGCTAGATCATGCTACTTTAACGGATAGTCCGAACGTCAATGAAATTTTGACCAAAAAACATCCTCGTAAATAATTCTTAAAAATCTCATTTATTATAAAATCATACATAAAATACCTAGGGAATATAAGCGATCAAACACACACAGCAGTTTAACAAATCGTTGTACAGAAGTATTGCAAAGTTTGCAGGAGATGAGACAACGCACTAGTCTCATATACGCGAACCTTCAGAATTCCATGAAGGACTTGTGCATCTTCTCTGAATCGATCCTGTAAGACAGCGAGTGCATCGAGCAAGCGACCTTGATCATGTTGAGACAATAGCAAAGTTCGGCGGAATCTATTAGCACATTCAAGTAATCCCATTAAAGGTTCTCGAATTTGTCCTTCTTCATCTGAATCGGCTATTAGACAGCTGCAAATAAGCGCAGAAATTAAAAAAGAAGTCGGAAAGATTTTCGAAATATGTCTCCCTATAGGGTGTGTCTAAATCCATTTAACACTATTATCAACTTCCAAAGAACAAAAATTGGCCAATAAAAGTCGCTCATGGACACGCGAAGCATAAAAACTGCTTTCATCGCTGAAGGGGTAGAAGTAGATTTGACCGTTTCAATTCCGAAGCACATTTACAAGCCATATATTTAAAATAATCCAACTTCGAAAGTTTCAACGACAATTGAGTGATATTAATTTCCCCCCTAACGGAAATCTCCCATTGATTTAAGCTTAACTTATATTTCCATCACAGACTCTAAGGTGTCTACTAACTTTCCGCCATCATCGAAAATGTTGTTATTGTGGCTGTTGTAAGTTTCAGTTTTTAGGCTCGGATATTACAACCATCTGTCTAGCCTTGCTTACTAAAAACATTACACCATCCGTTCTTCATCATGCAGTAGTCAAGATCGTGAAGATGAAGAAAGGAATACGTAAAAAAGTTATCCGTATATAATGAGCACTAATCAAGATATTACTTAAACCAAATAAAGTAGAGGAACAACGATAATTTATTTTCATATCAGCCTTTTCTTATGATTCCTAATATTTATGGTTTCCATATTTAACATCAATTCAAATAATTAATAATTTGGGGTGTGCGATAGACTTACCTCCACGTGGTGCACCCTGGGCAACGTATACTCAAACGGCAAAAAAGTCCATTAACTGGTAGTTGACTTCTGACTTCAAACCACCATGACCCCAATGTATGTCATATTCGACCACTTCCACAGTACACACCTCACCTTTTCTCTGCCTTTGTCTTTGAAACACTCTTCTATACCCACCCCCCCCCCCCCCACTCTCGACTTTTTTTCACTTTGATGTTCCCCCTCCTCTCTGTGAAGCCTGAAGTCAACTTAAGGACTAATGATAACCATCAAGACGCCTGCCATTTGATGTAAGTATAATTATTAAATTAGTAAGGGAATGCAGAAAACGTCAGTCTCAATTGCAAGAGAGGCACTTGAATGACTTCGCTTAAAGACTGGGGGAGGGGGGATAGAAGGGGGTGAGGGATTTTTAAATTCTGAGCATTTGTCATCACCGAATGAAATTTCCGTATTTCACCCTGTTTGCCCAAAGCCAGCCGGAATCAACTGAGCTCGTCTTTATCAGGCTGCTTCCACTTAATTCTCACCCCAACTTTTTGAATACTCTTGTGCAACACAGCTGAGCCCCCTATACATTCATTTGCGTTTTGCCTTATCTAGTTCCCAATCCCTAGTAATACTTCACGCGTTTCAGGTTTTCTACACCCTACCCTCCTATCGACGACCAATCTTTCATTCAATGAACGCTTTTGCTTATTTGGGGCTAATCAAATTTGTTCATTTAGCACAAAGTAGCTAAATTGCATCCACATCAGCTTTCTATTTGTATTTTCGATAAAAACATATAGAAGTTGAAAATATTAATTACTGTTTTTTGGACATCAGAAAGAATTCTCCCCCCTCCCCCTATCAAACGATTTCTGATTGGTTAGCCAACAATAACTAACACTATA